GGCGGTCTGCTTTCTTTATGGTGCAGCTCTCACTTCCATACATCACAACAGGAAAAACCATAGCTTTGACTATTCGGACTTTCATTGGCTTTTTAAGATGCTGTCAAGATTTGTCATCGCTTTCCTTCCAAGAAGCAGGCGTCTTTTAATTTCGTGGCTGCTGTCTCCATCTGCAGTGATCATGGAGCCCAGGAAAATAAAATCTGACACTGCCTCCATATCTTCCCCTTCTATTTCCCAGGAGGTGATGGGACCAGTGGCCATGATCTTAGTTTTTTTGATGTTGAGTTTCAGACCGTTTTTTGCACTTTCCTCTTTCACTCTCATTACAAGGTTCTTTAATTCCTCCTCACTTTCTGCCATCAGAGTGGTATCATCTGCATATCGGAGGTTGTTGATATTTCTTCCGGCAATCTTAATTCCGGCTTGGGTTTCTTCCAGTCCAGCCTTCCGCATGATGTATTCTGCATATAAGTTAAATAAGCTGGGGGACAATATACAGCCTTGCCGTACTCCTTTCCCAATTTTGAACCACTCAGTTGTTCCATGACCAGTTCTAACTGTTGCTTCCTGTCCCACATATAGGTTTCTCAGGAGATGGATAAGGTGGTCAGGCACTCCCATTTCTTTAAGAACTTGCCATAGTTTGCTGTGGTCCACACAGTCAAAGGCTTTTGCATAGTCAATGAAGCAGAAGTAGATATTTTTCTGGAACTCTCTGGCTTTCTCCATAATCCAGCGCAAGTTAGCAATTTGGTCTCGAGTTCCTCTGCCTCTTCGGAATCCAGCTTGTACTTCTGGGAGTTCTCGGTCCACATACTGCTGAAGCCTACCTTGTAGGATTTTGAGCATAACCTTGCTAGCGTGTGAAATGAGTGCAATTGTACGGTAGTTGGAGCATTCTTTGGCACTGCCTTTCTTTGGGATTGGGATGTAGACTGATCTTTTCCAATCCTCTGGCCACTGTTGAGTTTTCCAAACTTGCTGGCATATTGAATGTAGCACCTTAACAGCATCATCTTTCAAGATTTTAAATAGTTCAATTGGAATGCCATCACCTCCACTGGCCTTGTTGTTAGCCAGGCTTTCTAAGGCCCACTTGACTTCGCTCTCCAGGATGTCTGGCTCAAGGTCAGCAACTACATTGTCTGGGTTGTCCGGGATATCCACATCTTTCTGATATAATTCCTCTGTGTATTCTTGCCACCTCTTCTTGACGTCTTCTGCTTCTGTTAGGTCCTTCCCATTTTTGTCTTTTATCATGTTCATCTTTGCGCAAAATGTTCCTCTAATATCTCCAATTTTCCTGAACAGCTCTCTGGTCTTTCCTTTTCTGTTATCTTCCTCTATTTCTTTGCATTGTTCATTTAAGAAGGCCCTCTTGTCTCTCCTTGCTATTCTTTGGAAGTCTGCATTCAAGTTTCTGTAACTTTCCCTATCTCCCTTGCATTTTGCTTCCCTTCTCCTCTCTGCTATTTCTAAGGCCTCGTTGGACAGCCACTTTGCTTTCTTGCATTTCCTTTTCTTTGGGATGGTTTTCGTTGCTGCCTCTTGGACAATGTTACGAGCCTCTATCCAAAGTTCTTCAGGCACTCTGTCCACCAAATCTAGTTCCTTAAATCTGTTCTTTACTTCCACTGTGTATTCATAAGGGATTTGGTTTAGATTATACCTGAGTGGCCCAGTGGTTTTTCCTACTCTCTTCAGTCTAAGCTTGAATTTTGCTATGAGAAGCTGATGATCAGAACCGCAGTCAGCTCCAGGTCTTGTTTTTGCTGACTGTATAGAGCTTCTCCATCTTTGGCTGCAGAGAATATAATCAATCTGATTTCGATATTGCCCATCTGGTGATTTCCATGTGTAGAGTCGCCTCTTGTGTTGTTGGAAAAGAGTGTTTGTGATGACCAGCTTGTTCTCTTGACAAAACTCTATTAGCCTTTGTCCTGCTTCGTTCTGAACTCCAAGGCCAAACTTCCCTGTTGTTCCTTTTATCTCTTGGCTCCCTACTTTAGCATTCCAGTCCCCTAGAATGAGAAGAACATCTTTCTTTGGTGTCAGTTCTAGAAGGTGTTGTAAATCTTCATAAAACTGTTCAATTTCAGTCTCCTCAGCAGTGGTGGTTGGTGCATAAACTTGGATTATTGTGATGTTGAATGGTCTGCCTTGGATTCGTATTGACATCATTCTATCATTTTTGAGATTGTATCCCATTACAGCTTTTCCCACTCTTTTGTTGACTATGAGGGCTACTCCATTCCTTCTATGGGATTCTTGCCCACAATAGTAGATATGATAATCATCTGAGCTGAATTCGCCCATTCCTGTCCATTTTAGTTCACTGATGCCCAGGATGTCGATGTTTATTCTTGCCATCTCCTGCTTGGCCACCTCCAGCTTCCCAAGGTTCATAGATCTTACATTCCAGGTTCCTATGCAGTATTTTTCTTTGCAACATTGGACTTTCCTTTCACTTCCAGGCACGTCCACAGCTGAGCATCCTTTCGGCTTTGACCCAACCACTTAATTAGCTCTGGAGTTACTTGTACTTGTCCTCCGCTCTTCCTCAGTAGCATGTTGGACGCCTTCCGACCTGAGCATCCCATCTTTCAGCGTCATATCTTTTAGCCTTTTGTTTCTGATCATGGGGTGTTCTTGGCAAAGATACTGGAGTGGCATCGCCATTTCCTACTCCAGGTGGATTGCATTTAGTCGGAACTTTCCACTATGTCTTGTCCATCTTGGGTGTCCCTGCACGGCATAGCCCATAGCTTCTCTGAGTTATTCAAGCCCCTTCGCCACGACAGCAATCCAATCCATGAAGGGGTGCAGATAATATTACTGGTGATTATTCAGATTATGTATTCATCTAAACCTAAAAGTTTACCTGTATTATGTACTAGTATAGCATGATAATTTGAATCAGATCTTGACAAGGCAGCAATCCATGAAGGGGTGCAGATAATATTACTGGTGATTATTCAGATTATGTATTCATCTAAACCTAAAAGTTTACCTGTATTATGTACTAATATAGCATGATAATTTGAAAAAGATCAGATCTTGTAAAGACTTCTGGGCTTTCATGAATGTTGCTGGTGAGCCATTGTTGTTTCAGTTTTGTTCCAAGAGTTATTGTATAATTTATTACTTATTTATTATATTTCTTTAAAATATTTATACTAGAAATGGGGGCTGTCGGCACATGTGGTCGGCCTGATTACTTCCCACCCCCAGAACCCGCTGGTCCACTGTCTCTCTGGGAAGGGACTTGAATACACTGGTCACTGGTATTCTTCAGAGTATCTTTTGAGACTGAATCTATCATAATGTAATTCTGAAAAGCTTGTTTCCTGGATGACATCATAAATGCTGCTTGCCATTGATCTGAGCCCTCTTGATTTGCTGATTGGAAGCAGACATAGTGACAGGAAACTGAAGGCCCTGCCTCTGACATATTCTAGAAAATGTGTGATAACCTACTACTTTGTCAGACTTCAGGCCACCGTTGATTATTATCATAATTGAACAGATCTGATTTTTTCGCTATTTAAATAAAAAATTCAGTTTTTTTAAAAATCAATTTTTAAATCAGTTTGAGTTAAAAAAATCTTAGATTTTTATCTACTTGTGATTGAGCCTATTAAAAATTGCACCTTGAAAAAGATTCTGATGTGGTCATCTAATATCTTCTATGTGTGTTTGCAAGAGTTCATTCTGAGATAAGGCAGGTGTCATGTTTTAATAGGTACATACCTGAGAGCCTCTATGAAGTTTATGAAAAAACAAACTTCCTTGAATATTGTGCAACAATTCATGGTGCAGGCAGTGGCATGATTTCAAACTCCCAAGTCTTTGATTATTTTTTATATGAAGCATAATTATATGTCCTTATTTTAGTTACCTTTCATACATTCATCTAATCACAGGTAACTTAACTTTTCCCGTCATGTTTTGCAGTTGATGTAACCACAACACTACCTTTGCAAGTTCCACCATCTGTAGTCCCTATGGATCTCCGCTTGGACCATCAGTTCTCCATGTCAGTGGCAGAGCCTACATTACGTGAACAGCAGCTTCAACAGGAACTGCTGGCCCTCAAACAAAAACAACAGATCCAGAGACAGATTCTCATAGCAGAATTCCAGAGACAACATGAACAGCTCTCTCGTCAGCATGAGGCTCAGCTACATGAACACATAAAGGTAAAACACACAAATTAGGTCTGAGTGTCAGATAAGTCTTGGAACAGAGTCTGAAATCAGTGATTGATCTCTTTAAGGACTTTTAGTGTTTTACAACTGCTTAAGGAATTCTGGCAAACTGGATATACAACTCTATCCAGGTATTAATATTTTTATGTAGTAGCATAGTCTGGGATATGAATGTGTATACATATAAAAGAGAATAGAAATGTAGTATTCAATTAATTTCTATCCAGTGTGATTTGGAATACAAATAGAATTTCTCTGATTTTTGATCCTATAAGTTTGATTCCAGAGTTATGTAAGTAGTTGTTTGTAATTAGCTATGCTAATAAAAGGGACTCTTCGGGGTACTAAATTTGAGATGTGTCAATTCTGCCATAGTGTCTTAATAGTCATAGGACCTGTTGATTCCTTGAGTAAGTCTGTGTTTTAGCGGATTCACTACTAATCATTGACTTACTTCAGTGGTTCCTAAATTTTTTCAACTCGTGGCTCCTTTGAGCAGTGACAGCAGTGACAAAGCAGCAGGAGCGGCGAGAGTAATTGGGTGAACATGGTGGTGAAGGAGTGTGAAGGAGCCAGAGGAGGAAGAGCAGCAGCACCACTGGCTCAGTGAAGAACAGAGAGAGGATTCCATGGCGCCCCTGTCTCGGTTTGGCAGTGCTGTGGTTGCTGCAGGGTGCTGCTGTGCACACTTTGGGAACCCCTGTCTTACTTGAAAATAATTCAGTTGTCAGACACTTACTCCTCGATGCCAGATATAGATATCTCTCTGTTCTTGATTTATTTCATCTTCAGCAAACTATCATTGAATAAGTGTAATATAGACTCAAGTTGGTGTTGGATTTGGTCATGTTTGGTTTTGTTCTTTTTGTTTGTTTGTTTGTTTGGTATTAAAAAGAATGAACTTTAGAATGTGCGTTCTAGACAGTGTGAGGTTTTTTTTTTAAGTCAGAACATTAGAATGAAAAGGAATGGGTATATTGGTATAAAAAAGAACATTAAAAGAATCATAAAAAAGATTCAGCATTAAGAATCCTTTTATAAAGAATGTACTTGTTATTTGGAATAAATGGAAACAGGTTTTATGTCCCGGAATCTCCCTTTTAATGTCGGTGGCTGAGTTAGAGAATTTTCTAACATATGGTGTAAAGGACTTGATTAACAAATTAAAAAGAAAACAGACATCTAAATGGGAGGATTGGAAGGATAAAATTATAAACTGTTTAATTTTAAAGTTTTGCCTCTCTCTCTCAAACCTACACTTTACTGGTGCTGACTGATTGAGCTATGCTAATAAAAGGGACTCTTCGGGGTACTAAATTTGAGATGTGTCAATTCTGCCATAGTGTCTTAATAGTCATAGGACCTGTTGATTCCTTGAGTAAGTCTGTGTTTTAGCGGATTCACTACTAATCATTGACTTACTTCAGTGGTTCCTAAATTTTTTCAACTCGTGGCTCCTTTGAGCAGTGACAGCAGTGACAAAGCAACAGGAGCGGCGAGAGGTACAGGGTGAACGTGGTGAAGGAGTGTGAAGGAGCCAGAGGTGTGCTTGCCTAACTTTGTGGGCATTGCCTGAGCTGCTGCCGCCCTACTTATTTTTACTGTTTGATGTGTTTTTACTATTTGGTATGTTTTATTGTTTTCTTAGGATGTCCCATTTACCTTTTCCTAAGAGAATTAGAGAAAGATTATTAGTTAACTATTGTCTCAGTGTCTCGATTATTTTCCCTCAAATTTGGTAGCAGAAGATGGTTTCATTTTTTCATACTGATAAGCTGCTTTTGAGATACCGAAAGTTGCTGTAGCGTTTGAATTTTTTTTAACTTTCTGTTTTGAATTTCAGATAGTTGAAAAGAGTGCTTTTTGCAAATATTCCTTTCATTTCAAATTACGGAATGTGTTGTATTTGCCTCTGGACTAATGGGAGTAAATTTTTGAATTGATAAGTGACTGCAAAACATTATTAAAGTAATAGAGCAATTTTTATATGCAGTCAAACAAACTTCAGTAAATTGAAAGCGAAATTGTGAAGAGGAGAAAAAAAAATTAACGTTTGCCTTATTATAATACAGTATTTGTTAGTATCAAGATGTCTACAGTTCCTGCTACTACTCCAGAAGCTAATACATCCACTCAACATTTTCAGCTGGGTGTAAGTAACAGCAGTGACATATTTAAAGGCTTTAATGATGTTATAGTCTTGTATAGAAGAGCATGAGACTCCATTAGTAAACAAGTCAAAACAAGCTAAAGGACTATATGGTGCTCTAAAAAAAAACTTATTTAGATCAAGTAAGAATGTAATATTTTTGAAAGATTATATAGCATGAGAATGAAAGAAGGAACTAGCATTGATGTGCATTTGGATAAAATGTTGAAACTTGTCTCAGAGCTTCAATCTGCAGGGGCAGAAATATCTGATTCTGAGTTTCATACTTGTATATCACTCAGTTTACCATAATCTTTTGCAAATCAAAAAGCCATACTTGAGTGTACTGCAAAGGTGGACCTAGATTATACAATTGCCTACTTGAGAGACTCTGGACTTAAAAGGGCAATAGATAACATGCCTGAAAAAATGCCTGTGTTAAGAATGAGACCTGACCAAGAAGGGTGATGTTACATATGTTCAAAGGTTAGGCACATTCCCAAATATTGCAGATTTAAAGCTGCAGAAGCTCAAATACCCAGAGGTGCAAGGGTTTCTATTGAAAGAGTGGCCCCTAGTGCCCAGGGAAATTTTAGCAGTCATGGAATTTTTAGACCACCATGAGGCAGATCAAGTACAGTGGTGCCTTGATTTATGAACTTAATCCGTATTAGAATGGTGGCCATAAGTAAGTCAAAGCACCATTTGTAAGTCAAAGCACCATTTCCCATAGGAATGCATTGAAAACCAGTTATTCCGTTCCAGGTGAAGAAAAAAATTCCCAAAAAAGAAAACACACTGCAAGTCCCATGCTGGGACTGCAAAAAGACAAAAATAAAATAAAATAAAATTAAAAAAAATAAACATTGGAGCAAGTCCCGCGCTGGGACTGCAAAATAACAAAACAAACAAACAAAAAACAAAAAACAACACACACCCCCACA